TCTAATTATTATATTTCACTTTAGATATTTTATGTATTTTTCTTCGTGTATTTTCTCATGGATGCAAACAAAATCTTAAATATCAATTATAATTTAACATATGCATATGAACAATAGAAAAATCAATAAATCAACTTTCACCAATGAAACCAAAAAATAAAAGCAACACCAAAGAAATAGAATACTTTTTTTTTTATTTCCATTGAGAAATGTTTGATTTATCATTCAAGGTTGTGTCAGGTCACGTTTCTCAGTTCTCGATACTCACGTCCTGATAAGGCATAGTTTAAGACCACAGGCATGCGTTTCCTGCACCTGTGGTATATGTAACACGTTGGCCATGGACATAGTAGATACTTAGAACGATGCACGCATACTCACGCAATTCTGGTCGTCTTGCATAATTGCAAAGCAATGCGGTATGATCTTTCGCGCCTGGCCATTTCGCTTTATATCGTACGATTACACCTCCCTTCACCCTCCCTATTCCTCGACTTTTTCCACTAGCTTCGGTGAAATGTTGTTCGTGTATCGTGCGTAATTCTCAATGTAAATTGATACTTAGAGAATCGCACGAGCTTTATCGTGTCATTATACGAAGATAGCGTGCATCCTGATAACGCGCATCGTGCGTTAATGACGTGCGTTTTGATTTTTACCTTTGAAATGTACTATATAAATGCATTAAGTTTTTTTCAATTTTTTTTTTTTTAGTATATTTTATTGCGTGAAGTCGTATGAAATGTAAACTTTTAATCGGGGTTCATCATCCGTTCAAAGTTTAATTTAATTCGAGTGTGAAATCATATTTTTTTCAGGAATTCGAATCGTTTCGAAATATTTTATTATATTATTACGTAAAGTCGTGTCGTTTACCTTTATCCATTTAATATTTCAATGAATTATAATAAATATATATATATATTATAATTATGTCGTTTGATCGATTATATTTTACTATATTTATTTCAAGAATTTAACAATGCATAAAAAGGATTGTTTTCGATTGCACTTCCGTACATTTGTTGAAAAAAAGAAAAATTGCATTGCCATGCAGCACATGTTCACGGACATTACCTCTTTTAGCACTCGTCATTGTTTGCATTTGAATGCAAATTACTTCATGACCGATGCCTTGACGGAACGTCTCGAAGACTTTCATCAAAGTCATTCGTAACTTATCGTATCGCATCTCATTTATAGAAAGAAAAATAATATCTCTACGTGCAACTATTAATTGTAATAATCGACTTATAATTAATTCAATTTTCAAAATACCAAATGGAACGTTCCATCTTTATTCTTGACAAATTCATTTCCCGTTTCTATTACAAATGCAAATGAATTCTCGCGTGTAATTACACTCGACAACAAGCTAACACCTGCACATCCCAAAATACAACAACATCGATCATAATTTCCACGAGCATTAATAATTTAATTTCTTTTAAAAATCGAAACAAATCATCGAATCTCACGAAAGGCTTTCCAATTAAAACGATTTGGCAACGATTTATAAACGATTGTTATCCAATTGATCCTTCAAACGCTAGCTTTTTAAAAATAAAAACTTGGCGAGACGACCTTCGCGCGGGTGAGGCCTTTTTCCTCGTAGAATACGTAATGAACGTGTTTCCTTTTAATGCGTTCACGTCTAGCGCGCCTATCCGCGCTCTAATTTGCATTAACCGTTGCCTCGGATGCCCGTTAGTAAATCATTAATTTCAATGTCGACTGTGAAACGATTTCCCAATGGAAAATAGAACGTCGCGTTCAACCATGCGAATTTCACGTTAGGCTCGTTAATTCGTGGAAAATGAATGAATAAACCGATATAATTATTTTCGATAATAGGCTCTGGTAAACATTGTAAAAATCCTCTTTAATCATCTTTTATGCGTGTTGTGCGTGATGAACTATTATTTTGGATTCAGAGCATCGTGTAATTACATGGGATCCATGAGAATGTATCGTGATACATTTGAGTATTTAAGTGTCAATAAATTTGACTGCTGAACATAGTATTCAATCGTTAGAAGATATCTTAATCTTTCTGTTTTAATTTTATATCGTAGCAATTAATCGATTAATGGTTAAAATTGATTTAAAAGGTAAATTAATTGGCGAGCGATGCACGTGTACGCAATTTGTATCCGACTTTAATTAATTGTAATTTTAAAGTCGATCCACAACAACGATGTAACGCAACATTGAAACAATTCCATTATGAATTTGCATACGTTTTCTAATCGTAGAGGTTTATGTTAATCGCGCACGAGACTGGGATAAAATTAAAACGCGTAATTAAGTTCGATTGATTTTTTTTTTTTTATTCTTTCAATAAAATCTATCCTTATATCGCATCGTTAAATTTTTATAAATCCACGAATATAATTGTATAATTTAAAAATTCTTCGCAAAATTTAAACTCTAAAAATATTTCCTTATTGCTACGCTACACTGAGTCACGCTAACACCTCTAACAAAATGTTAACCATTAACAAATATCAATCGTTTACGACGCTTCATATAACTTCGTCATAAAATGCAAGGACAACGATTTTATACTACGTGTACTAAGTATAACGGAATAATACTTTGAATCATAGCAGTCACGTCGTACATAAAATTATTATTTCACGAACAAGAGGAATAGCGCTATCACTTAGGCTCGTGTGTGTATATATATATATATATATATATATACTC